CCGTTATCGCGGAAGGCTGTTTCAAACCGCCCGCGGCGTTCGAGAAAAGCTTGTCGCGTGCCGATCCTAATGCCGCCCCTGCATACCAAGGCTCTCCTTGGATCGCGTCGTGGGGGTCAGGATCGATGCACAACACTGACAGCACCAGAGATCTCGACTCCAGCGTGTCAGCGTCCAGACCCGCTGTATCGCACTGTCTCCATCTTTCTCCCCAGATGTGATCCGACGATGTGCGCAGGATGAGCGTTCCCTGTGCTGCATCAGTTCCAGACATCGGATAAGGCGGCAACTACCTCACACCTCGTCGTTGCACCAATTTAACGACATGGCGGACGGAAAACACTCCACAGCGTCTCCATATTGACGAGTCGTGATTTCAACAGCGGACGTGTCCTCGCAGGAAGAAGTCTAAGCGATACGTCCTCAGCAGTTGTGGTGGAGGAAGGCCGCTCGGCTCGTACAAAGCCCGATTTCCGCCTGTACTAAACGTGGTGGGTCGTTCTGCAGTATGTCATAACCCGTATCCTGTGCGGAAGCGTCTTTGGTAACCTGCCGTGATGTAAGGTAGAACAACTCTTAGTGCACTACGTCAGAGCAGCATTTTTCCAATTGATCGCCGCGGAGCTTTTGTTGCGGTGTGGACTTGGGTGCTTCAAGATTAGTGAACGGATGATGGCTAAGGACCTCACACCAACTCGTGGACCCTTGAAGACATCATCATCAACTAAGAATCAAAGAGGTATGCAATAAACCTTCTCTTAGATCTCAGCTATTGTTGTCTCTGCTCCCAATGATGATCAATATACTATATTCGCCATATACGTATTCGACAGCTGTGTATATTGCGAAAGAGCGTGCAAATGAATATGTCCATAAGACAAGTGAACAGTATAAACTATCTACCACATCATGTCTAATGGAAGATCCGGTAGGCTTCTCGAGAATATGATATGCTTGTTCGCTGTCGTGAAAGGAATTGTGGCATTCAACGGTCGAATGCCATGGCTTACCGAAGCACCGTTGTCCCGTGCAGTATGGGACGATACACTACTACATCAGGCAATATCCGACTTCCATCGATTGTAGCGTCCCTGTCTGTGAAAAGCAAAACTATCTTAGTAGTCCGGTTCAGGGTGAAATTGGCGAGGGAACCCTCTTCACCCAAAATTCGCAGCAATCGATGGACGTGAGACAACTGCCTATCTGAGCATGCATTCATTTGGTCTGCTTTCTGTTTGAGCAATGAGTGGACAGGCAATGTTTGAAAAGGTGTAAAATATCGCAGTACCGCGGTGAAGTGGATAAGAAGAGCCTGCAGCACAAGAGAAAGCCGAAGGGCGAAATGAAGCTCATGTCCTTAATGCTACATTCTGCGGGAATCTACACCCTAGCGAACCTTCCTGATTGGGCATGAAGTAATCCTGTTTACAAACCTCATGTCTATAATAAATAAATTTAGGGTAGAGAAGGCAGGAGTCCGCTAGATACACTCACTATACTACAGGGAAGTACGAAGGTGAGCATTGAGGAGTGAGTTGAGCGGACTCCATTCACACCTGCTATAATCCACGCTCACAGGTTGTTACCTAATGCAGTAATTGTATGCTGGCAAACCTCATATATCTTGAAGCATGTAGGAGTAGAGATGAAGGAAATGATCAATATTGTGATGTTGTTTGGGGACTGCTCATCCCGATTGGGCTAAAGTCGCGAGGACATCACGTCATACCAGAACGAGGAAGGCGCGACGCGAGCTCTCAGATGCGCATCTTCCCCGCAAACTCTCTTGACTTTTGCAACCACACAGTCACAATGTTCAGCCTACCGAGAATATCACTGCCTTCTTTTCTTCGCCCCGGCGAAGGCACGCATCTCACCGTCGACCTCCCCTCCGTAGAAATCCAAGACATCGAGACCTCGGCAGAGAAGCGACCGCGAACTCTCAAGCACCTACTCAAAGCGAACCACGCCAACTACGCAATCATATACCACAATCTCACTTTTCACAACCATACACCGCACGTATGCTGCTCCTCCTGTAAAGGCTGTAGCTACTAAGCATGTACCCTAGATCCTGGGATCGGCTTACCTTCTGGGAGGCACCGCAGAGCATCTGAACGAGATCTACGAGAGAGAGGCGGAACTGCTGGAACCTTGGCATGATGCGCCTGGTGAGATAACAAAGGACGACTGGCGAGAGTTTCTTGGGAAGCGCGAGTACGTAGCTGCATGATAGTGCGATCCAATAGGATCAGGGTCAGTCGCTAATGGGCAGCCAGATACCAACGCGCATTCATTGATTTCTTCGAGGATCAGCTCGTGAGCAAGAAGTACAATGTTGAGGAAGTTCTTGAGGAGTTCTTGCTCAAGGGCAAAGAACCGCTGATCAACGGCCTCATTTCAGGACGTAAGCTTGCGCTCTTCCGAAGCCCGGATATCGCTAATTCCATGCAGTTGCGCATCCTCTCATTCATCTCGGCTACGCTTACGAGCTCAACTCCACGACCGTTGCGATCGAAGCTCTAGCGATGGGCTCTTGCTTCTACAGTCCGCTACATAAATACATCGACGATTCAAAATACACGAAGCCCAGCCCTCACGAGGCGACTGGGGACCACACCGGGCTCATCGATTTGTTGGACAAGGTGCGCAAGGATAAGCGCTTCGATGGACTGTACGATCACCGCAGCGGCGACATCACGAAAGTGCTGGAGGAGCGTGAAGAAGCCTTTCTGGAGTACTGGAATGCTTGGGAAATTACCGCCCCGAACGAACAGTTCCAAGCTGCTCAGGAGGTCGGCTTGGGGCTGTTGACTGGAACACCACGACCGGAGAAGGGAAAGTACGACTTCTTCCTCGTACATGTGCTTACAAGCTCTCACGCTATTCGCATCCTTCTCCCGTTGATACCGGCCAAGTTCCATGTCAGTCTTCTACGGCAATGGTGGCTCTTCGCGCTAGCTGTATACATTGCCCAGACGAGGCCAGAAATCGATATGGGTAACGCGATGACTGGTGGCGACAGCCAGGAGAAGACTTGGAAGCTTGTTGTGGACAAGGCCTTGAACGGACCACATTCGACTGATGCGCATTACGTCAAAGGTATGTTATGAGCCTCTTGCCGGACCGCGGTGTTCTTGACTGACATGACGCAGCATTGCGTGCGTTGAAGGTAGCAGAGGAGACATGGGAAAAGGGTAGTGACAAGTCAAACCACTGGTTCAGTGCAGCAGTCAAGTTCGCGGATGAGTTTGAGGGCTGGGGAGGGTTTGGAACAGCGGAAGACGAAGCAAAGATGGGATATCCTGAGAAGCAGTAAGATCTACTATGCATAATGGGAAAGTCAATGTATGCGCAGGTCTGGTTTCATGGAACGTTCCCAACCTGCTCGACGGTGACGCACTCACATGGTCTGATGTGAAACTGGCGCAGGACTGATCATTCACCACTTTCTGCCTTCTGTCTGCTGACTCTATCTCGTGGCGACAGTCACCATCATTACCCATAGCACGCAATACACTCTAGCACCTGACCGCAGGGACTACCTACTTCTCTCCTCTGGAAAACCGTGAGTACCAGCCTTCGCCGTTCAGCTGCATTCAACCATAGATGGATCCAGATCCAAATTCCCTTACCACCACACCAGCTCTATGCACTCAATACAAAGTTTACTGGCGAGAGTGCGGCCACGAGTACAGCAACGTCGGCGATGTAGTCCCCTGCCAAGCAGCTGCGAACAACCTCGCATGTGCATGTAGGACAAATCTAAGAATCATGCGCGACACGACTACCTCTCGAGGCATAGATGGTCACACTAGAGTGCTGAGTGATGGAACTGAGACTGGATTTTGCAGGCCGTGTAGATTGGAGAATGAGAGGGAGAGGAAAAAGGAGGCGAAAAAGCAGAAGAGGAAGGTGAGCAAGGCAGAGAAGGGTAAGAAGGTAGACGGCGGTAGCAAAGTCAGTGGGACGGGTGGTGAAGGTAGAGGCGGATTCGGAGGTGGGTTTGGAAGGGAGCGGAATGTTAGGGTGGAGAAGAAATATGTCAAAGTGGATGGAGGTGGAATTGGGAGTAAAGATGACTGGGAGGTGGGGATGCCACCGAAGACGATTAAGCAGTACCAAATGGATTTGAGAATGCTCAAAGAGAGTATTGGGACGGGTACCAGGAAAGCGATGAGTTTGTGAGGGGGCTTAGTGTGGAGTGGTAGTTTGGTAGCTGGTAGAGAGGGGATTAATGGTTCGATATGTAAGGGTCCTCGTTGGCTAGCCGAGCATGGAACCATGGTCAACGTCCTCGCTTTTCAAATATATTTTCCATTTCAACTTGTACATAAGAAAGTATCATCACAAGCATTTCACTCGCTTCTTACATTTCATCCACAAATACCACAGCAACATTACCCCAAGACAATTTCGCGCCACCGATTTAGAAGATGTCCAACATGTCACTCCAACCACTGAGGCCAACGCGCCCACAAGCAATCCAAGTAGATCTCACCATGACGCGAGAGCTCCTCCGCGTCTTATCTCGCGGTGGAAACGGCCATCCTCTCCGCCACGACTCCCTCTACCAGTCGATCTACTTATCTAGCGCGATGGCCTCACAACTTCGTTACGATTGGCCAGTCCTCCAGGCTCGCGCGCTCGCCCCTCTCTTCCTCAGTCTCAAACAGAGATATGAATTACAAGCGAGGCACTACCGAGCTTGGAGGATGTTGGTCACCAAGGGCCTTGCAACAGAGCAAGCGATTCGTCTTCCGATTGATGAGCGCAGCTCGGTGAATAAACCTGCGGTTTGGAGGTTGCTTGATAGACTCTCTGCTTTCCCGAAGTTTGGGGCAGTGGATATATTGGAGGTGGGAGGGTTCAAGTGTCGATGCTGGAACTGCTCTAGAATGGCATTAGCGTTGAAAGAAGAGAGGGGAGATGTGTTCGTGCAGCCAGGGTACTGGTTTGCGGCGATCGTATTGAGGTCAAATTGCGACATTGAGAGTGTAATGGAGGCACTGGAGATATGGGGTGGGTTTGGAGAGTGGAATGCGGGCCATATATGCTATGTGCCTGATAAGAAGTTGAACGAGGAGCGGGTATATGTTGAGAAGATCAAGAAAGAGGAAGACAGCCTTGAAAGAGGTCACATAGGTATACTGTTCGGGGAGGAGATGGAAGAGGAAGAGGAAGAGGAAGAGGAAGAGGAAGAGGAAGAGGAAGAGGAAGAGGAAGAGGAAGAGGAAGAGGAAGAGGAAGAGGAAGAGGAAGAGTAAGAGGAAG